TCTTGCCTACTGTCTCCTAAATAATTCACGCGACCAAAGGGGCAATTTGATCCTATTTAGGCGCCAATACCCTTTGACCCGACTTTTTGAAGATTTTGATTTTTTGGCCCTTTTTGAAAACTATGTGACTTTTGCGCCCTTTCAGAGATTTTGTTTTAGGAAATTCTAACAGCACCATGCTATTAAAAGATATTTCCTCCTGTAAGTATGAAAAAATGCACCACTTAAAACTTTTAAAGGAAATGCAACTCTCCTCCTTGCAGAAACTCGGTTATAGGGTTAAGCGCAAAGAGTAGAAAACTCGAAAACTTCGAAAATAATCCCGAGATTCAGTAATTTGGCAGTTCAGTCAGAGTTTGTTTTTGTATAATACATGCTATGAGCTGAAGTAAATATAAAAGAAAAACATTCCAAATGCAACGTGAAAAAAGTGAAAAATGTAAATTGTATGAATTAATATACCAAAAGGCAACACTGAAATTTACGAACTAAATACTTTTCGTAGGTGTGGTTCGCGACTAGTTAGCCTCGAAAGTTTATAAAATGTTTGGCAATTGTTTTTCGAGGTATCTTCTGGCAATGGCTAGCAGTGAATGAAGGATTTTGCTTTTGAAAGGTAACCCAATATGAAAGGTAATATGTTCTCGTATTTCTGTTAACAACAGTACTCTGTAAGCTTTGCATTGCTTTAACATAAAAGTTTTTAAAAAGCTTTAAGGCGATGCGATTCAGAAATCAAAGCTTTTAAAAGCTTCTAACGTCAAAGCAACAAAGCTTTCTTGGCAATAAACTAGGCTAACAATGCTTTCAAACTTAAAAGCTTTTACCGGAAAATAATTGTACGTATTTGTGTAAGTGTGTGCCAAATGATGGCTCGTTTGTTGTTAGCGAAGCTTGATGGTGGTTAAATTGAAATAGCAGTAGGTTAAGACTTTTTGTAATTTTGGTCTTATTCAGTTAGTAAACCTCATAAGCAAATAGCTTTGACTACTATGTAGTAATGTTTAACAATTAATGTAAAAAAGACAATATTTTATTTTATAATAACAAGTAGATACAATCTGGATTTTTATACTTATACTAATTCAATAATTGAAATTTTTTGGAATAAAAAAAAAAATCGGCGATTCAACACTTTGTTAAAGCCAGTATATGCTTCTAAGAACACTAGACATTCGACGATTTGCCAACTCACGTCTCATTCAAATGGAAAAGAATTTTTGCACATTCGACAGTTTGACATGGTGTTCTTTAACTGCATGTACAAAAAAGGTTATACTTAGTTAATTTTTTCTGTTAAATACTACTTCGAGGAAGGCGCCTACTGCTTACTCTTTGTGCGTAAAGGCTTCATCTAACGACTTTAGCTGGAGAAATGTTTACTAACTGGCAGGCAGCGGAAAGATTCCGATTGTATTTCTACCATAAAAAAAAATCATTTTGAAGATAATATTCTATTAAAGAAAAGTGTAAGATTGCACGGGGTGAATGAGTTTGCACATAATGATATCAGCACACTCAAAGATAAAAAGAGACTTTGTAGGTTCAAAGGTCGAAACACCCACATAAGGATGCCTTTTTTTCTGAGAAGGAAGCATATGAAGTCTAAAGTCAAACCCGTTCCCGAACTTAACCTTCTGTCGTCTAATAAGTACCTCTCCCCCGATACTGCTGTCAGCTATTTCATCGGGAGGTGGCTAAAGCGCTGAGCTCTAGGTTCGTTACTGTCTTGATGCCACAGAGTGTGTAGTTTTCTGTTATAAATCTCTAATTATGACTAAGTTTCATGTCTTATTTTATTACTGAGTAGAAAAATGACAAGTCCGATAAATGCCAATTAGTACTGCATTGGAACGATAATAAAAATACGCGTCAAACAAAAGGGTGTCCCATAAAAAAATTTAGATATTGATATATATTAGGGAGCACCCTACTCCGGACTCTACGAGAATAGAGGTAACGCTGCACATTCTTCAAATGTTCATGTGCACTGAAAATTCCTTTAAAAACTAAAAACTCCAACTTCGTGGCGGGTTAATAAGTTATCAACGAATAGTCTTGATTTCGAGTTACATATGTATTAGGGATGTTGCGAATGTGAAATTTTAGACATCCGCGTATGCGAATGCGAATGCGGATGTAAAGTATTTTTAAGAAACAACTATGTAGGTAAGAAAATTAAGTTATTTAGGTAAATAAAAAATTTAGAATTTAGTAATATTTAATAATGCTTATTTTATTTAGTACTTGAATTTAAAAATTGGAACATTATATGTATCTAATAGAATAGAATGAAAATGTCGGATGTATCCTCCTGACTTTCATCTTCACTTGAAGAATCTAGCATAATGGCGAGATCGTTGTTTTAACAGCGCTTCCAAGCCAAACCAGATGTGTCAGGTTTTTCGCAAAAGCTCCGCATTAATTATTGCGAATGCGAAAGCGAATGCGAATGTTAAAATTAATGCGGAAGCTCCGCAATTGCGAATGCGAATGCGAAAATTCGCAACAACCCTGATATGTGTGTAGATGTGTATACAAATTAACAATTAATGTTTGATTTGTTTTTCAAGTTATAATTTTTATGACCAGTAACGGAATTGTTGCTACATAGTAAACAGGTAGATTACTTAGTATAGTAAGTGTAAATTAAGATTACTTAAGTTTATATTGGAAATTATTTCTTTTATGTACATACATATGTATACATATACATCGCTCTATTTTGGGTTTTACAAAACTTTTACTACAACAATGCTTCCTTATATTTAGTTGGTTAATTTGTTCACTTTTCTATAATTTTTACAGCTTTGTTGCCCTTAGCCATACGATATTATCTGGCACAAGAACTAAACCCTTCTTCATAATATCTATTCTGGGCGGTGTCTTCTCCGAAAAGGTAAAGCGATAAGATTTCAACAGTGTTATCAATCCAACACGCACTTGCATGCGTGCAAAACGTAGGCCAATACAATTGCGCGGTCCATCGCCGAAACCGAGAAAGGCCTGCGGATGACGTTTTTGTAGTTCTTCTGGCGCGAAACGTTCTGGACGAAATTCGTGTGGACTTTCATATATTTCAGGATCATGGTGTATGGCATTGATAGGTACAGCAATGTGGGTTCCCTTTTCGAGTTTTATATTCGTTCCGGGTATCGTGTACTCTTCAATTGAGATGCGAGGAAGCACTGCTAGAACGGTATACTTACGAAGTGTCTCTGAAAGGAGAATAGGCAATTGAATAGGTAAGTATTTGTATTAAATATTAAAATATAATTTATGATATAAGTCTTAGTTAACTAATTCATTAATAAGCAATGCCAAATTTAGCTACGGTAAGAGCTAAAAACTGTACAATGGAAACTTCTTTAGCGGTTGTAATGAAGTGATGGTGCTGGGATAATATCGATACCCAATTTAAGAAATGGTTAAGCAGCGGGTTAAAAATACAGGAAAATATGAATATGTAGATGAAGCAAAGGAAATGGGTTTAGATGAAAATAGCAATAAAAATTTAAGGTTTACTTAATATAAGAATAAAGGTGAAGGTGATAAATACAGGCTGGAGCATGGTTCCATATGCAGAAGTCTATGCGTGCGGAGAGTGGAATTCACCGTGCAGTGGCCAAAAACAGTGCCAGCATTTTTTCTTGAACCTTGGATCGACTAAGGTTAAAGCAGATAAAATAATATTTCTCTGTTGCGATAAGTTCAAGTGTTTTAGCATATATCATATAAATTATTAATGAAAGTTTTTTCTATACTTGAAATGCTTATAATGGCGAAGGCTTAATGTAAAGTATCGGGTACCGAAAAGGAAGTATTGGGTACCGACAATACAGCACATCACTAGAGAGCAGTTTTATTAGCCGCCCTCAGTTGCCAACTCTACGATGACGTCACGCCAAAATTACTCTCACGAATTCTGTTGCAATCGGCGTAATCTTGTATTCTTTAAAAAACAGAAGCAACGACATGTCCCTCATATCGTCGATCCGCAATCGTCTGTTTCACTTCAAACAACATCGGTCCGTTGAGTTTTTCTAAATTAAAGCACATGTGGGAATAAAAGGCAATGAGCCTTTAAGTTATGCCAAACGTAAAATACGATTATAAACCGGCGCAAGCATTTTTCAAATCTCCGACATGGCAGCAGTCAGCCTACGTAAACACTTCACAGAGTCATTTAAGGAATTTTTACCTTTTTAAAAGAATTAATGCAAAAATTTGTTTATGATGAAGATATAACTCAACAAGCCATAAAGAATGCATTTGCCTGTAACAAAGAGCACAAAAATTTCGAAAAAATGTATAACCTTTAACTGTGGAGGTGGTGGTAAAATTTACCCCCTCTTTAAATTTTTTTGAACTACTCTCCTATGTTGCGCTCCAGCAACTTGATTCTCTCAGTATCTTCTCATTTTGTTGTCGTTTATTGATCAGTTATGTTCTTGCTGTGGAAGGTGTAGCGGGGGTGGAAAAATGCTGATGCCGGTGTAAATATTACCACTCCTCAACATTTATGCAACTTTTTCTTTCATGGACGGTTGACATGTATTTTTTACATTTACATTTTTTTAAGATGATCTCTTGTATTTATTTAAATATATATGTTTTGCTGTGAAAAGGTGCCCCTTAAGCTTTAGATTAATTTTTATTTTACACTTTTTTTTTTTTTTTTTTAAGTTTACTATGTGATGTTTTTGTTCTTGTGAATAATAATAGCCTTGTGAAATGAAGTGGGACTTTCGTTGATATTAAAAGAAATAAAAAACAAAACTTTGTATTTATTTTAACTTAAAAATCTAGTAGCTTAGTTTAAAAGAAAAAGTAATTATAAAATCACCAATTTGTATTCAAATTTCTAACTAAAATTCGAAGGGGTAAAATTTACCACCAGGTCATAGACTATGTCCAAAAAACTCACCTCCATAGTTAAAGGATAAAGCAACTATATGATGTATTGCTAATGTATCAATAAATTTAACAATAGCATTAAGTGAATATTATTAATAATATATTTAAAAATAATATACTTTCTCAATACGCGGGTAGCGTGGAGAGACCAAAGGAAAAAAACTCACCTCACCTCACCTTCACCAGAGCTGGGTAAATAAAATTACACTACAATTACTATTACACTCCTCAGTATTTGTAATTAGGAATCAATTCCTTCAGTTCACAACAAAGGAATTGATTACGTTTTCAATTCCTTAGAAGTAATTCCAAATGTAATTATAATTTTTTTTTTTTGAATTCCCTAAAAAGAAATTTCATATTGTAATTGGAATAAATTACGTGCTAGTAATGTAATTTTTTCTCAATTCCTTTTTTTTCAATTCAGTTCAAAGGAATTGGAAAAACAAAATTTTTTCCAATTGCATTCCTCAAAGTAATTTAAAAAGTAATCGAAAAATTTATAAATTTTTTTTTTTATTGTTGAATTGCTACTATATTCTACATTCGTATGAGTAATTTATTATGAACTGGTTCCGTTGCGTAATTTGTACATCAACTCTTCGTTGATAATATGATCATTTCGTTTGATAAAATGTTGTAAATTTTTTCTTCATTATAACTGTTCGGCTTTTGGATAGGTGGAAACATTTAGGAAAAATTGTCTAGCAAAGCTTCCCCAAACACTTTTTGTTTGGCATCTATTATGTACTATTTCATTTGTTTTAAATATTTTCAATCTTTATTTATTTTGTCAATTTAATTGAGTTAAATTTGCAAACAGGTGGCACCGCTATTCTAAAATATTATTGACTGTAAGCCTTCTTAAAACTCTCTAGTTTGACACCCACATTACAACATTTCCTTTATCTTATCAATTCAACTGAAATGCAATTTTCAAATAGGTGGCAACACTCCTCAAGAATGTCTCCAATGGTTATCTTTATTATACTTCTTTAATTTGATACCCACATTGCAATATTTCATTAATTATACCTTTCATGAGCATGAAATGGTATTATAACTTTGGTCCGATGTTTGTAAGTACCAGAACAAAAAGAGATAGACCCATTAAAATGTATACTTATATGATCAGAACGTCGAGCTGAGTTGATTTAACCATGTCCGTCTGTCCGTCTGTCCGTCTGTTTGTATGCAATCTAGTCTCTCAGTTTTCGAGATATCCGTATCAAATTTGGTATGTGGGTGTATTTTTATAATGTATTAATCATTTGTCGGAACCGGAAGAATCGGACCACTATAACATATAGCTCCCATACAACTGATTGTTCAGATATGAGATTTTTCGTTATAACTTCTCCATTTATGCAGCTACGAACATGAAATTTTGCAGTACTTGCACCCCTTATCAACAGAATACTTACAGTGAAAATTACAAAGATCGGGTCACTATAACCTATAGCCCCCATACAACTGATTGTTCAGATATAAAATTTTTCGTTATAACTCCTCCATTTATATCGCTCGGAACATGAAATTCCGCACTGTTTTCAATAATTATCAACAGAAAACTTACAGTGAAAATTAAAAAGATCGGGTAACTATAACTTATAGCTCCCATACAACTGATTGTTCAGATATGAGATTTTTCGTTATAATTCATCCATTTATGTAGCTAGGACCATGAAATTTCGCGCTGTTTTCACTCATTATCAACAGAAGACTTACAGTGAAAATAACAAAGATCGGGTCACTATAACCTGCAGACCCCATACAACTGATTGTTCAGATATGAGGTCTTTTATCATAACTCCTCCATTTATGCAGCTAGGAACATGAAATTTCGCACCACTTTCACTCATTATTTACAAAATACTTACAGTGAAAATAACAAGGATCGGATGACTACAACATATATCTTCCATACATCTGATTGTTCAGATATGGGATTTTACGGTAAAACTCCTTTATTTGAACAGCTAAAACCGATAAATTTCGTAAGATATTTTATAAATAATAATACAAAGTCTACTGAGAAAATCATCAAAATCTATGCTGTATAAGCTTTATCTCCTATAGCACTGATTGTTCAGATACCAGTTTTTGCCATATATCTCCTTTATGTAGGAAACTAAACCCAATAAATTGTGTTACCGGTTTACATACCGATCACATAGCGGTGAAAATCACTTAGATTGGTGTCATATAAAGTATATCTTCCATACCTCTGATTGTTTAGATGCGATTTTATATATAAGTATGTAACTCCTCTATCGATGTATGCAGATGTATTCAAAAGCAGTAATCTGTCAAAGTAAAATTTGCAGATGTTCATGAAAGGTATGAAGCCTTCGGCATAGCCGAAGACAGCGCTGCTCTTACTTGTTTTATTAATTTAATTGAGTTTAAAATTTTCGAACAGGTGGCAACCCTCCAAATTTGTGTACTGGTATTGTACCGAACAATTAAAAAAAAAATATACAAATCTGGTCAGCCGTTCTCGAATGTTGAGGCCTCGTACAAACGAGCACAACATTTTTATGTATACTAGTTACATGTATGTATATAGATATTCATAGATATATTACAATATGAAAATTCCTTGTAATGGAATCAAAAAAAAAAAACAATTACATTTTATATTACTTCTACTTATTTACTTCCTTTGCTGTGGACTGAAGGAATTCCTAATTACAATTCCTTGTAATTTGTAATTGGGAGTAATTAAATTCCTAAGGGAATCATTACGACCCAGCTCTGGACTTCGCGAATAAAATTGATTTATTAATTTGATCAATTAAAAACCACACAGCCCAGTGTTATGTTATGTTATGGTGTGTAAAGTTCAAGTGATCGAAGTATACAACCGTCGGGATTTTGGAATTATTAAGAATATCAACTTTGCGAAAGGAATCTATAGAGCCACGTTTTTCAGTCTCTGAAACCTATATCCTACTAAAAAAAATTATAAGATCCGCAATCCGCAGTAACTGCCTACACAAATCAACACGGGCAATATTGTGGTGGTAGTGTGGTACAGGAATTATTACTAATGCTAACAAACTCACTTCCCGCATTTAGCTTTTTTTTTATCCAACTCACCTGACATAACTTGATACAAGTAGGTCATTTGATCCATTGCTTCGTATGTCAGCTCTCCGTTGTGTTTTGCCAAGACGCTATTGATTTCAGCTCTCAATTTGTCTTGCACATGCTGATTCTTTGCCAACTCATAGAGCGCATAAGTCAAATTACTCGAACTAGTCTCATATCCACCAGCAAAAAATATGAATACCTGTGCAGCCATCTCTTCGTAAGTCAACATAGGTTTACCGTTTTCGTCCTTTGTATTCTTCATTTCAATCATTAAATTCATGAAATCGTTACGCTGAATTTTCTGCTCCTCACGTATACGAGCAGTATCGCGAACCAGACGCAACATAAACTTTTCAACCTCGTCTGGTACGCGTCTGATGTTGAGAAAATGCAGCAATTTAAATAGCACAGGATATGTTGTCATCAAAATGCGTAGCCTTATGGATTTATGATTTTGAAAGAAATTAATATGTCCGACGCGAAGAAACTCTGTATTGGGATCCTCCAAGCTGTTACATACAACACCAAAGCCAACCTGGCCGATTACATCCACAGTGAAGCGTGTCATCATTTCGTATATATTAAGGGTACCATCTGGTGTATTTTCCAAGTGTTTGCCAAAGGCTACATCCAATTGCTTTGCCACCGTTACCAATGTTGGAAACATAAACTTCATTTTCGCCGATGTGAATGTAGGTGTAATTTTCGTACGCAAAGGACGCCATCTCTCGGCGTTCACTTTAAAGAGATTACCATTGATAATATTATTATCGGGTATATATTCGAAACGATCCGGAAATGTATTGAAATCTTTAATTAGTACTTGTTTGATCAAATCAAGATCGAGTAGAACGAGTATTGGTTTAGCGAAGATATAAGTGCCGCCAAATTTTGACTTGCCACGAAAATGTCGATAGACTTCGCGATAAAAATCTAAATTATGTGTGGTGCGCATTAGACATATGTTTTCAAGAAAGTTTAAATTCGTTTGGGGCACCCCTTTTCTTGCCCAGTATTGATATTTGTATTGAAGATAGGTGACCAAAAGGGAGACGATTGCGGTCAAAAGTACGAAAAATAAAAGCATTGTGGAGCATCAAATTTGGCTGGAGTTGTATTGTATGTACTTTTTATTGCTTTTTTTCAGGAGAAGTTTTGTAAATATTTTAAACTTTTAGGTTTGTCTAGTGAAGATTAAACAGTTTTGACACTCTTTGTTATATTTTTTGAATGATTTCACAGGTCCAACAAGGCTTCGTCCTTTTATTTTAATAGCTTTTCCTTGCTAACACGTTTCACTATAGCTTCTGTCTTTCACACGACTTCCATGCCTCGGCTGCAGCAACTGACCTTTTCTAATGAACTTTGCAATTAATTTATACTAAAATATACATATATATGTACACTGCCGGCAAAAAGTATTGGCACAGCTGTTTTTTTAAACAATATATGCAACAGTTTTTATTGTAATATTTTTCCGATTTTTTTTTATAAAAGTATGGTTAATTCCACAACAAAAAAACATAAAAATTTAATTTCTAAACTTTGTGCAAAACTTGCGAAAATTCAGCAAATTTTCATGCAAATTTTCAACATTTCAATCAGTTTTTTTAGAATTTTTTTGGGTATTCTAAGTAGCTACGAATTACCGTTGATTTTTGGCAATTTTTTCACGCGGTCTCTCCCATAAAAAAAAAATTTCGAAAATAATTTTTATGGAAAAAATGCAAAACACCTTCAACAAAAAAATTCTCAAAAATCAGTGCGATTTTTGACTTACTCGAAACTTGCATTTTTAGAACTAGAATTTAATGGGCTAAAAACTGCATACTCAAGAAAATTCAGAAAAATTAGATGAAAAAGTTGAAAATTTGCTTGAATATTTATTGAATTTTCGCGAGTTTTGCAAAAAGTTTAGAAAATATATTTTTGTGTGTTTTGTTGTAGAATGGCCCATATTTTTATGAAAAATTGGCGGAAAAATATTAGAAATGAAATTGATGCATATATTGTGACAAAATTCGCTGTGCCAATATTTTTTTCCGGCAGTGTATGTACTTAGTATTTACAAGCGTTTGCTTAGATGCAATTAAATTTTCTCAAAAGATTTTTTTTTATCAACCAATCTAACATTACCATTGTGTAATTAGAGTTTAAGCTGTTTGCTTTGATGTAAAGATAAATAACGTGTAAGTGGAATAAGCCCAGAAGTAAATGTTGACTATTTTAAATAGATAAGCACTTATTTGAAATTAAACAGTATTCTCGCCCATACGTGACTGCCAGAATAACCAAAAACATATAACTCTCAATTTACGCGAGATCTCATTGATTTCAATTACAATGGACGTTAATTCCGACTAGTGTAGCCCGATTTTTGTTTTAACCCATATCAGCCCGACAATTTTTTGTTCGAATATCTTGATGAAATTTCCATACTAAGGTAAAATTGATTAATCAAACTTGCATTTTGTGGTAAAAAAAACAAATTTGCGACTTTTAGTTTTCGAGATATTAGCTGTTCGATTAAACGAACACGGGGTCTATCCGCATTTTTGTTTTATTTATTTTGCATATACATCTCGTGGCTGCTTCCTTATAGAGCTTACTATTTTTAAGGACCATTTTTTTTAAACGCTTTTATGAAAATATACGAAGCAAAGTATTCATTGAGCTCGCTATGTATTTTAAATTGTAGAACCAGGGACCGTAACAGTTACAACTTTTATAAAAAAATCGCTCTTTAACAATTATATTTTGACTTTTATTTAATTTCTCTTTAAATAGCCGTTATGTCTGACCTTTATTTTATAAATTGGAAAACAATAATTATTTTTTATTTTTATTTAAATAATCTGCAAATAACAGTTATTTTTGATTTTTTAATTATATGTCTTAGATAACAGTTATCGAAGACTTTTATTTATAAAAGTCATAAATAAAAATCAGTCACTGATCTTTAAGTCGTAGTAAACTTTTCTTTCCCAACACCTTCTTAACTGCGAAAAATGTCAATGACTTTTATTTGATTGATTTAAAAAATAAAAGCCGGTGACTGATTTATATTGATGACTTTTAAAATTAAAAATCTTTGGTGATTTTTATTGATGACTTTTATAAATAAAACTCTTCAATAACTGTTATCTAAGACATATAAAACAAAAATCAAAAATAATTGTTAGTTTGGATTTATAATATAAAAATCGAAAATAATTGTTATTTTTTTAAATTTTGCATAATAATTGCAAATAAAAGTTTATTTTCAATTTTGAATCTCGGTGCAAAAAGAAATCGATTGGTACGTTTCACTTTGTTGCACAACATTTCCTTCATAGTGAAGTTTTCCATGACAGTTTTCATCAAAGACTGTTATGTTCGGTCCCTAGGAAGAATTCAAAACAATTTGTATGTAGTGCAACGTTGCATCTCTTGCACACATAGTTCATACATATTATAGATTTGTGGCACAATCCGCATCTCCATAGGTAAGGTCAAGTGGCAATTCTGATTGTGAAAAAGGATTTGAAGCGAAAAGACATTAAAGAAGGGTTAATAAGAATATGCTGTGCTGAGTTATCTTATTCTTACAGTGTCCCCTTTGTCTGAAGATTTATTGGGTGAGGATCCTTTGATAATCTTCCGGGAAAATTTTAGTTTGGCATCCCCCGCGTACAAAAAAAAGGTGGCTATGGGGGGGTAGGGGGAGTTCTCCTGATTGCAAATATATATACCTTTAGCCGCAGGAGGCTTATAGTTTTTAAGTTATTTGTTGTTAAAGTTTGTAAATTGAACTAACCTCTCGGCGCTATTTCATACAATAAACCCTATATTTATGTAGACACTTCGGCAAAATAGTTACATTAAAACCCCGCACAATGAAATGTAAACATTTTTTACATTTATGATGTATTTTTAGTAAATTAAGTAAGTTTTAATAATTATCACTTATATATGTACACGCACATTGTGAATATAGAACCGTTGATTCAACCATGGTTTCACACTGACATTAGAAGAGTGCAGCCACATCTAAGAAAATAACAATAAAAGAGAATAGTTTTTATCGTACCCATTTTCCTGCTCAGCGTTGAATTAGTAGTAAAACTGACAAGCGCCGCAGGCGAAAATTTTTTATAAAAAATCGCGCGATTTTTTATTAAAAATTTTCATTATTTATCGAAGTATTGATTTTTATGGAAAAAGCGCCGCAGCGGAAAATTTGTAATAAAAAATCGCGCGATTAAAATTTTCATTATTTATCGAAGTATTGATTTTTATGGCAAAAGCGCCGCAGACGAAAATTTTTAATAAAAAATCGCGCGATTTTTTATTAAAAATTTTTATTATTTATCGAAGTATTGATTTTTATGGAAAAAGCAGTGCAGGCGAAAATTTTTAATAAAAAATCGAGCGGTTTTTTATTAAAAATTTTCATTATTTATCGAAGTACTGATTTTTATGGAAAAAGCGCCGCAGGCGAAAATTTGTAATAAAAAATCGCGCGATTTTTTATTAAAAATTTTCATGATTTATCAAATTAACGATGTACGTTTTCTACATTTGTGTACTTTGAACTACAATAACACCAGTAAATATTATTTCCACCTGAAGAAAATAATACCGTTATGATCAGGAGTAAGACCCCTATCGATCCTAATATTATTATTTTTAATAAGAGCAATATATGTACGTATTGTACACTTATACTTCCTAATTATACACACTTATTTGTGTATTTTTTTAACGTATGGTAGCATACATTTTGTGTTACTGTCAGCCATTGTTATTTCAGATTGTTTGTGAAATGTGAAAACGTTTGTGAAGACATTTATAAACGCGTTTTACTTAATTAATTAATTAAGAATTGTATATTAAAGTGGAAATCTCAGGCCGGGGTTTTAATGCAACTATTTTGAGGAGTGTGTACATAAATAATGTGTTTATTGTGTGAAATAGCGCCGAGAGGTTAGTTCAATTTACAAACTTTAACAACAAATAACTTAAAAACTAGAGGCCTGCTGCGGCTAAAAGTATATATATTTGCCATCAGGAGAACTCCCTCTATCGTTCCATAGCTACCTTAATGCGGAACTCCGGGATGCCAAACTAAATTGCAGCCAATCTTCCTAAGTCCTCCATGTCCCTGACTTGTTATCTTCAGCGCCTTCAGTCGAATGAAGCAGCTAAGTTTCCATGCGTTAACAATATCAGAATTCAAAACAGTTAAGTTATTTTGTTGATTTTATATAATATAAAAAATAGGGGTCTTCTATTTCGATTTTTTTCTGTAAAAAAGTTGGGAGATGGGAAGAAAATGCCAAAAAGTATAAAATCAAAAGGCATTTCTAAGGGTTTTGGGATCTGAGGGATCTGAATTTGCAATTTGTATTTGGCGAACGGCCGCTGGGCGCGCTATGACGCAAAAAACATGGAGGCAGCATCAAGGAAAATGCAAACAATGTTTCTAAACAGTGTCTCTTCATGTTGCTTTTGCACTAAATCATATCCAGCGGTCGTTTTCGGTAAAAACTAAGTGCGGATTCGGATTGCTCATACCCAAAAATCCCCAGAAAGGCATTTTGATCGTACAAATATTTCCATTTAAATATATTTTAATTGCTTTAAAAGCTCTCTAACTTCAATTAACAAAAACAAAACCTTTAATAGCTAACTTTGGAAAATTGAGAAACAAGTTTTCTATATACTATCCAGACATTCAGAAAAACTTGGTTTCATCCATTCTCCAGCCGACTGCCGAATAGTGTTTCCCACTTTAGCATATATGTATATGTATGTACATACGTTTTTTACGTTACATATATCGTTGTCGTTCGCTCCAGGAAGCTCCTCACCTCACCTCACCTCACCTCACCTTGGGTATTCAAGTCAGTTAGTCCTTAGTCGTTAATCCTTAATCCTTAATTCAAAATAATTGTTTCATAACTAACTTTACTTTAAATAAAAAAACCCAAATGCCTATTACACAATTACCTGTTTCCACTTATTTCAAGTATCTTTTAGGCGCTAAACTAGGTAAAGTAGAATGCAAATATTGTCAAAGCTCCACATGCGAGCTCTGAGCACTTT